TGTCTTTCCGCTACCATACATATTTTTTGATATTATATCAAAATTGTGATAGGTTTTTAAAAAAAACTAGGGTAGAAATTATAGATGGATTCCATAGTTATGTAAATATGATAATTATTCCAAGAATTTGAATGGAGTGTAAATATGACATTAGATTAAAGTTAAAAAGTTCAGCAAAATAGTGATTCCGCTACCATGAAATTGCCCATTTGAAATGGATGGTGATGAAAATAAAATTATTATTAGCATTATTATCGTCATTATTGTTGTTCGTATTATACTGTAGGTATTAAAAATTCATCCTGTGTCCTAGTGTGTTGTTTCGTATTGAAATATCTGAATACATCGTTACACAGCAACAATATTATTAATATCAATCATCAGCACCATCATCATCGCCCTGATTAATATTATTATTATAACCGACAACAAAAAATATTGTACATTACACCTGCTTTACTACATTTTGATTTGATCTTATTCAAAACTGTTCAATAAAATTAATTCGAATACAAACTTACTGTTTATAAAATAAATTATCGATAAACGTAATTTACTCTTATTGCTTGTCAAAAATATCAATAACAAAATCATTAAACTTTCGGTACACCATCTGAAAACATACAGATGTATCGCTATACAGTAAAACTATATTTTATACATGGTGTACAGAAAGTTTAATGAAAAATCCTAAATACCATTTTAAATGTTGTTTTAATATATTCAAAAACGTCATCTATTAATAATGAAAATTCCTCAACACTATCTTTTTTTAATATTGTAGTGCAAATATAAAAAGAGATTCAAAATAATTATTAGTCTACCTGTAATTATATCTGCATACAGTATATACTGTATAATACTACTGTATTTCCTAATCTATCCTACTGTATGTAAAACACAGGGGGTTTTTTTTTGTTTTTTTCTGAAAAACTTAATCGATTTTGGCAAAGCTATTTATAGCTAAAAACAAAGGGGAAAATACAACACATAATTATTGTCGAAAAGTGTTATTGCGTGAACAAAATGACTTATTGATGCCAACCAGTTTAGAAAAAATGTAATTCTACTGGAGTAGAATAATAATAGAATGTGTTGAGAATGATGTTGATTCCATTAGATTTGTTTTGCAGTCATTTTGGGTGGGGGTGTTAATTTTTTTCCTTAAATAAACATGTAAACAGGGCATGTATTTGAGGAGGCATTTATTCCAATTGAGGTTCTAGATAGGGCATTTATTTGAGGAGGACATTTCTTCAAAGCAGGGCATTTTTTCAAATGTACGGCATGTTGATTGAGACATTAGCTTCTGATTGCCTTTCCAGCACCAATAAAATATTGAATTGGAAATTAATGTTCTTACTGTTAGTTAATTACCATTTCTAAAATGATTTTTCATACTTACAATTCTTGTTTTATAGAGCTGCTAAGGATGCCAAGAGAAACAAGCAGGCCCAAAAGTCAGTTACCAAGACTAGCAAAGTAAGTTTCTTTTATGTTTTAAAAATACATTTGAATGTATGTAATTTCTAATTCATTTACATTTTAAATCATGAATTTATAATCACATTGAATGCAATACTGTTAACATTTAGATTAAACTCAGCCTCCATTAGCTCACTTATTTTGTTTGAAATTTGGAAGTTCACCTTAATTTGAAAATGCAAACTAATGCAGATGATTGCTCTAAATTATGTGTGTACTGTACATGTTTAAGGTGTGGTTACCATGGAGATTGATGGAATGATAATGTGATTTTTAAAATGCATTTTTTTATGAAATTTGTTTTTCCCAAATATTTAAAGTATAATTTAACCTTCATAATACAATTTAAAAGTAAAAACTTTAATTACTCTATTACTAAATTTTTGGGGTTTTTCTTATATTGATTGAAGAATGCAAATTATTACTGTTAATTTGTTATTATTTTTTAGTTGTTTTTATTATTGTTACTTTTTAAATGATTTGATAATCATTGATTATTATTATTATCATCATTATTACCTAAGTTCCTCCGGTATATATGCCCACCTACAGTACATCCCAGCCTGTCTTCGGGCAAAGCCTGGTGTATGACTTTTACAATATTCTCACAAAAATATCTAATATTGGCTATGAATTAGGCATACTGTACAGTGTTGAAAAATTGCCATTTGATTTAAAAGGGGATTCCTTGGATTATAAAGCCACCCCAAAAATTGGCCCAAATTTGTGTTCAATGGGGGCTTATAACTGTAGAACTACACTACGGTAGGGCCTACATTCTTTTTATTTCATAATTACCCAGTACAGTATTTGAGTGTGTTCAAACAAATCATTGCAAAACTAAACCATTGTAAGGTTCTGTCCATGTTCACACTATCAAATTTATTTGACAAAGAACTGTTGTATGCCCATATATGGTCATGATATGATGTCATCGTGACCATATTTAGGCATGTCACATGTTGTTTTCAAATAAAATTTGATAGTCTGTACAGGGCTTATAAGGAACATTAAGCAATGATAGCTATATCCACAAGATTGAAAGTCTGTCTAATATAATCTTCCTGTGCTTGCCTCTTATGTTTCCATAATGCATTGCAAGCAGGAAGTTTAATGCACAACATTACATCATTGAACTTTAACGTTACTGAAATATCACAGTTTTTTTTTCAATCTCTGAATTAAAATTATTCTGAATATTGGTTTTCTAAATTCTAGTGCAGTTGTAATACTTTCATGATGATTATTTGTTAGTGATGAAAGAACTTCAAAGGTGTCAATACACTTGGGACATTCCCGGTACAGTCTTTAGTACTCCAGCCAGCAGCAATACTCTTTTAGTGTTTTTATGGCGTTGAATTTTTACAACGCTACCTTCCACGCATTATTTGTAATTGGCTCGTAAAATCAACTTCCACGGCTTGAGATTTTAAGGTGACAGTCCCGCGTGTTCGTAATTTTTTATAAGACTGCGTTCATCCTGGTATGCTTGTTAAAATGTAAACATTCTGAACAGTGATAAAATAAATTGGCTGTTGTGGAGCATGAATAGATATTGCTAACTTGCCATGATTGTAGCATAACACAGCTATGTTGTTAGCATGGTGGATTGTCACTTTAAAACATATACCATCCTACAGGACTTCAGTAGCTTTGTCCATCCTATCAAGTTTTATGTGATTTGCCGTATGTGGGCATGAGAATGTCATATCACACCCATATCGGCAAATTTCATCTATTTCTTATTTTCTTTATTCACAAGGTCTGTTTGCAGTATGTTGTGTTGTTAAAGAGAAATAAATTTGTCACATAAAACTTCCTAGTCGGGACAGAGCATTTCTTTGCCAAAAAATAGTTGGATGGCCATATATAATCATAATGTGTCTATATACTGTATGGTCATGATGTGATGTCATCACGACCATATTTAGGCATATCACATGTTTTTTTTTAAATAAAAATTTGTTAGTTTGGACAGGGCTTAAAGCTGGCGAGTATATGTTTAGTAGTTTAAATGTGCCACAATGCTTTATCAAAATCAATCATGAAGTATTCATGTTTCTTTTGATTTGATAAAAGCAGAACCTAATTTCTGTATGTTTGTATTTTCAGACTACTCAACAGAAGAGACCTGGGCAGAGCAAGGTAACCAAACAACCAAGAGCCTCGGCGCCACGTGTAGGAGGAAAGCGCTAACAAAATAAAAAATCCTCTTTGTAAATTTATTCAAAATATGTGAGAAAATAAACAGTCAGGCCACATTCATGCATTGAAGCTGAAACTTTCCTTTTGTGTGTCTTCTTTTGCTTTAAACTGCTGTTATTGCCTTTTAAATTCATGACGATAGCAAACATCACATGTAATGATATGGTTAACATTTAGAATGAATTTTGTTGGCCTCATAATTTTAGTATGCATTTCGGCTTTACACAAACCTTATTAATATCCTTAATAGATTCATCTACATAATTAAACTTGATTGATTATTGAATACAATTCCTGAATACTTTTAAATTACCTGAGGTAGTGTTTTCAAGTAGCTACTTAAAATGTACGCCAGAGGACCACAAGAAAGCCTTCAATTGTATTTTTGTAATACAGTAGAGGCACATGCCAGACAATACCTAAAGCTGGTTTTAAACTAAGCTAATTTATTATCATGAATCGAAAGTGAAGGCTCATGTGCATTCACATTTCTATTGGAGTTTTTTGCTTAAGCGAAATCAGTAATTCAAACTGTTTCTACTTTTAGCGAAGCGAAAAAAATGCGCAACTAATCAGAGCTCCTTAAGGGAACCGACGCATTTGACGGGTGGAAAACAGGCTTATTGGTACATCTAACGATATTTAAAAAAAAGTAAGACGCAAAAAATACGCATTTTAAAAAGAATCAATACTAGTACAGTAGTATGTTATTAAATTATTTGTTCACTAACTTACGACGTCACATTTTACTATATAAATTATCTAGAATATCATTAATTTATCAACGTAATTCATCACCAACCATAGTTAGGCTGAGGTACGAAATGACCGGAAATTGAACTTGTAAAACCTTTATTATTTTCCAATTTCTACTTGATTAGAATGATATTAGCTTAAATTGAAACGATATACAATTGTAATTATGCCCCTAGGTATATCAATTTAGATTTTTGCAGACGATTTAAATACTGAACCAAAGCACATACTGATTGAACATCTTATAAAATGAACAAACACGACAACATTACTACTCTATTAGTATTGGTATTTGCTAATGCAATTTCACATGATAATGGCATTGGATACTGCAAAATAGACAAAAACGTTGTTTAGGTTAATAAACTGCAAGAATCCCAATTTTATTACCATTATTCATTGGTGTTTGATATTGGCACGTCTTCCTTGTTTGTGTCACTGACTATGTCATTAGCTTCTGGAACCTTTTTAATTAGATTTAATATTCTCATTTAACAAACCTTCAATGTTCAATTTCTTAATGTATAATGATATTGCTACGAAAATGAAATTTCATATCGTTAAAATTGATTGCACTGATTTTGCTAAGTAATGCTGTGGTCATATTTGTCAACATTTTTCAACCAATGGGCACTATTTTGTAGAATTTAAAAAGTCATTATTTCATCAACTGAAGAAATTTCGATAAAGAGACTATAGCTAATAGTTGCATACTTAGATGACCTCTATCAATTTATTTATTCAAGCAGTTAAGTGAAATAAAGAACCTTTATAAACGATTCATTCTCCATTACAGCATACAGCAATTTATTATGCATAGAATAGCAACGGAAGATAATATTTTCGATTTCTTTGGTAAATGATAAATCATCTGACGTGACATTGCCCTTTCTCTAATCTACATCCATTTAAAAATGCAATTGTTAAAAGTTGTATTCCCATGAATTTATATCCTAATTAATTTCGGATCCGCAGTCATCCTTCTTTGTCAAAAATATTAACATCCTTAGCTCTTGCCTTGTGATTGGTGTGTTAAAATAATAGCACGTAGTCTGATCTATACGCGCGCGCCGCTAATCATCAGAATGTGTCCTATATAATGACCTACAATCGTGAGACGCATGTTGCTTTAACGAGAAAAGTGAACACGAAATCGAATCTTTTTTTTCAATAATACTGTACTATAATAATGACAATAGCAATAATGACAATGATAATTGATAATAATTATGAACGATTTTAACAAAGAAACAATGCTAATGGTGACGTATTTCGTTAGTATTAAGATATTTATTAATGATGATTGATGTTTTGTATTCAATGAGCAAATTTTGTTGCGCTGCGTGCAATTCGTTCATCTAAGCAGATGATGCACAACATGTTGTGTTCGTAGCCGGATATGTCAAATAGCATACCGTGATCTGAAACTGTTTAGCATGCTTGCACATTCGTTAGACATCCTTATCAGTGGGAAGTTAATAACTATTGGTACGGTGGACTGTGCAATAGCTAAAACAGCAACATACGCGCTCACCGGTTGCGTGTGTTTCAAAAATGTGTATGATTGATGAGCTGTTACAAGTGAATTTTCAACGAGAGGTTTTAGAGATACTTTCAACATTTCTGTTCTATATAGTCTGTAGGCCCTTCTTTCAGTACAATCTGGCGGATCCGTCGAGAGAACAGTCTTAAGTTTAGTGTAGAAAAATTAGTGCCGGTCGATATAGAATGTGACGCGCTTGCAATCATCATGGTGACTTTGGATGTCCCGGGAAAATGTATCAACTCCAGTAGGGTCTACTACAACTGTATGAGACGAGTGAATCGTTTCCTATTTCAAACCCATTTAAATTGATTCGTGTGCAACCTAACGCACACACCCACGGGGTACAGGGTGTAACTTGTAGAAACCCCTTGTTGTTGGTGTATATGAGGAGGAACCTGTATCTACCCTATGTGTTGCATACAGTATTTGTTGTCAATCTTACTTTATTATCCTCAGTACAGGATAGTATTAATAATAATAATAATAATAATAATAATAATAATAGTAATAATAAAAATTAATAATCATAAAAACAACAATATTTGATTATGACAGTGCTGATGCCAATAGTGATTGCATATAGTTTCCTACATTTACAGTTTTATTTCGATCAATGTAGTAATACTTAAAACATTTTTGTCACCAGGAGGTTTTGCTAGGTTACAAAAACGATAACGAGAGTTACGTCATCATATATTTTGCCGATCCATCACCTACGGCATGATCTGTCACAATTTACACCATACCTGCGTTTTCCAAGAGCCATCGATCATATAATTTAAGAAAAATTAAATGAAAATAAACGTACACCTATTGTTTTTGCATTCGTTATCGTTTCCATAATGTATTTATTATAGCAAAGTTTCGTATGGAACGCCGCCTGTGTTGAAAACATACTTCAAGTAATACGAAATGCGTTGGTGTGTTTCATAATTCAGCAGTCGTAACTCATGAGTACCGTATTCAATCGCTTGACATATACGCTGCATAACTATTAGTGTCTCTTCTGTGAATGCAATAGATCGAATTAACAATATTAAGCAGAATTCAATGAAAGAAAACGCATGTTAACAAAAATTACCAATCGTTTGCACAATTTTAATGGATAACAATGGATGCTTGTTTTTGATATTCACAAATTCTAAAACTGTAACTTACCCACATGCAGACTAAAATAACAAGCGTGTTTAATCTCAATCTGTCAATTACCCATTGGCTTCACGTGACGTTTACTAACGTCATAGCGCGTGCATAACATTGTAAATGATAGCGTGCGCGCGTCTATATATAAAATTGTGTAATTGGAAGAGATCGTTTATAGGCTACACATTAAAAATGTACATGTGTTACATAATGTATTATTTGGAATGGAAGTTGCATTATTAATTTGTGAAACTTAAAGAATAAATTCAGAGAAAGTTGAAGATGACTCAATGCATAATGTACGTTGTTGTTGTCCATATGTAATTATAACTAGGCCTAAATGGGGAGTAATGATAATAATTTAAATAAAATAATTATAATAATCATAATAGAGATTTGTATAATAATAATAATAATAACATCAACAATAATTATTACATATAGGCCTAAGTGGTATATAATAATATACCGCCAAACGCACATGTAGCAAATGCGGTTGAATTTACATAGAAAAACTTAAATTTTTGTCGAATTCATATTTAGTTGTAACACACCCAGGTAGACTAAGACACATCCAGTCAAACAACAACGTAATATTTGATATATAGAATCTGATAAACATAAAAACGCAATGTTAAAATTTGGAACGCATTTGAAATACAAGACGACTCACAATAAACCCGAGGGTGCCTCAACATTCAATAGTTGAACATGACAGCTGCAAATGAGGCCAGTTCACATGGTGCATCACGTGGTATATCATGGTACATCAGTAACATAGCGCTTATTGTTTCTTTGACTTAATGATTAAAATCGAATCATTTTCAAATAATTCTTCTGTTAGTCTGTGTAGAATTTATAGACTAATTGCAGTTGCTTTGGGCTATATCAAACAGGTAATATAGAAATATGAATATATAAATATTCATACTTAATACGATACAATCGTGAATGTATATAATTACATACACTATATCATACC